GCTACAATGCGCTTCGAGCTGAACGAAGCAGTGTGGTTTGTAGAGCAGTGTTCCTACAGGCTTACAAGAACATATCTTCATATATCTTCCATTCCGATGGACCTGAAGAGGACCTTCACACAAAAACGAGGTGAGTCCAGGATCGAGCTCCTATGATTTCTGCGTGAAGCAAGATGCCCCGGTCCGATCTTCAAGAAGCCATTGCTCCTCCATTCAGCATCTCGAAGGTCCGAGATTCGTGCGCTCCTCGGCCTCCGCCAAGCCTCCACCCAATCTGAGGCATCCCCGCAAAGTTTGCTTTGGCTTCAGCTTCTTTGCAAGGCGTCGGCGCTCCTCGGTACAGAACGAAGCTTTGGTCACTGGTAGTCAGTCACGACAGCGAACAAAAGGCCATGAACGACCACCAAGTTCAAAAACTACATGAGTTCACCCTCGGTGAATGATCCTATCTTCGACACTTAAGACATGAGACAATGAGATGATCCAGCTGTCTCCTGGTCCAACTGGTTCTGAATCTTTCCATTTGCTTGGCTTGCATCACTGATGGGACTGCCTGGCACAGTCCGGAGCACCAAAAACGAAGACGGACCCAGCAGCTGACAGATCCACCGGGGTCTCAGCAGCTGACAGGCGCGGCGGCTGGAGAGGCGCCACTGTCTAGAAACTTGGAGTTCGGGATGACTCCGGTTGATCAGACCTCCTGCACCACCAGATGATCCACCGCCCTCCCTCCCAAAAACAGAACAATCAGAAACAGCGTGCCATTCAGAGGGACATGTCTTCCACCCGTCTGGAGGGCTCGGTCGCTCACCTCGCCCAACCGCGAACAGCGGAACAGCGGAACAGACGGGCGCGTCAACGGGCGCGCCTTCGGCATCCTCGGGGAACTTGTCGCGGGGAATGGGTGCAGTCCTTCGCGGGTGGCCGGTGGCGAGTCGCAAGGCGGCGGAGGTGCCTCCAGATGTGCCGATGTGCGTACACTCCCCTCCCTGCTCAGACATGGCACATGTGAGCAGATAGTAAAACAGAAAAAGTGCAAAAAAAAAACTCTCTTCCGTTTTTGTTGGCAATCTTCTTGGTCTATTTGGGACCCCTTTCGTGTTTGGTTTCTCCTTGTCAATGCCAGTTTGGAACTCTATGCTGACACCCAAAAAAACTCCATCGAATTAGACTTGGAAAATATTCGTGGGTGCCCCGTGTCCCTACCAAACTCTCCGTGATCCTCGCACTCGCGATTTGCTTCTTTGTTTTACCTTTGAGATCTCGCGCGGGCCTCAGAGTGTTCTGCAGAAAAATTTGGGGACCTCTTTTTTCCATAGATCCAAGGTGGATCCTGAATCCATGCAACGACCCGTCTTCTTCCGTCAGTCCCGCTGCGCAGAGCCCCTTCCAACGTCTGTTGCAGCGCACGCTGCTGGAACTGAGCCTCAGACGGTAGATGACCAGGAAATGCAACTGACTGAAGTGTCAAGAGCCCAGATCAGTTGGATTAGTCCTTCATGTTTGCATGCTTCCCATACGAACTAGCTGGACCAAAGATCCTTTGTCATGTGTCCTTCGTACTGTCGGAATTGGATGGCCAGCTGAAAGAGCAGCAGCTGTCAAGCCAAGGGCTCCTGTGATGGCTTATACCTCTATCTATCTATATATCTATCTATCTACCTACCTACCTAGCTAGCTATCTATCTATCTATCTATCTGTGGTTCATGCCAAAAAGTTATTCCAGGTAAAGCTGTTTGGGGAACCAGCGGCTGGTTGACCAACAAATCGACCTGGTGACAGGATTTGCTTGTTGAAGCCCGCCTCAGACGCGGAAAGGTGGCTCTGGCTTGGCCACCTCAGCGGTCCGGTTCGAATGAGCGATTGTTTCGTGGTGCTTTCGTGGTGATGTGGTGGTCTCTGTTGACGCCATCGTGCATGTTCATGTGGTGTACGCCATCGTGCCCAGGTTGTGCCAGGCGGCCCAAAACCAGGGGGCGCGACGCCCTGTGCCTGCCGGCCAGATCAATTCAAAAGCGGAGTCCTTTATATAAATCAACCACAGCAAGTTTGCCAACTAAAGAGTTCACGCAAACCAAGACCAAAAGCTGCATCCGACGTTGTATCCTGCCTGGTTTTGCTGGTTCAGTTCCATCATCTGCATCAGCTGTGCGACCTGGAATCTCAACGAGAGCTATCTGTGCCATCTGTGCTATCTGTGCCAAGTCACCTGCCAGCCTGCGCAGGAGCTGTCTGGCTGTCCTTCCTTCCTCTCACACTCCTTCCTCCTTCCAGGCCCGGCCCCAACGCACGCCCGAGCACCCATCGTCACATCACCCCGCCAGGCACCACAGCCAGTCGTCGTCCGCTCGCGTCGTCCCCTGCGGCGTCGCTTCGGTCGGATGCGACCTGTGCTTCAGCTGCTTGTGCACGGGCATGACAGCTATCAAGCACGGCCGCCTGAGGGTCTCCGGGAGTCCGTTCCTAGTCTGGATGCCGAGGGTCTCCGGCCCCAAGGTGTTGGGATGAGGTCAGGTGGAGACGGAAAGATTGCATCAAGCTGCTTCAGGATGTGTTCGCACGTTGGTTGTGTTTATCCTTCATGCCATTGGAGGCAGGAAAAACGCACTGAGTTGCCGGCCATTTCCATATTTGAGACGGGCACGCACGAGCCGTAAGGCAAGTATGGACTTGGCCTTGGTCCACTCAGGTGCGTGCAGCGAGTGCTTGGAGCAAACATGTTGAGCTGAGGATGTTCTCAGGTTGATTTATGCAAGGCCTCCAAATGCTTGCAATCCTCACTTGGGGTAGAAATGCTCAAGTCAAGTGGACACATTTCTGGTGTCAAAAAGGCATCACCTTTCGGAGCCTGCCAAAAACCCAGGTCACCGACCTCCGGTTCGGTGGTTCACAGGTTTCAACCGAAGGTCGACCCGTCAACCCGAGATCTTTCTCAGGGAAGGTGTGAAAGCTTCGGACCGCCGCGCTTCAACCCTCTCTTGGCCCGCCGGGCATGGTTGCAGGTGAGGTGTGGCTGGCACGGGTTTTGCGTGGCTGGCACATGCTGCTGCACAGTAACAGACTAGCCGCTAGTCTGTATATCTTGGGGCGCGGTCGCGCTCGGAATCCAAGTCAATACAGTGAATGTTGGCTCAACTACAAGGCTGTTCAGTATGACCAAGAAAAAAAACACATCTTGGATGAAACCGGCTTGAACAGGACAATCGCGGGTTCTTGCGACAAAACACGATAGATTTTGCCCTGTCCTGTTTTCACCCTTGCACCATGCAAAGTTGTACCAACGGTTCCTATTCCTTGATAGGAAGGATCCTTTGCAAACCTATGGCCTCCTGGCTGACTATCTGCGTATGTAGAAACACCATCAGAGCAAGAAAAGAGGCCCTTTCCTCGACTGTTTCTGCATGCCCTTGAAGCACTCGCATCCAAGAGTTGCAGTGGCGTATCCATTCTGCAAGAGCCCCAGCAGCCAACCCCAACTCCGCGTTCTTCCAAAGGAGGAACCTGTTCGGAACCGCCTCGGAACCCACCCCCAGAGGCCGCCTCGGTCCCATTGGCATGTCAAACATCCTCGGCGCCGCTGTCTCGAGATCACCATAGGAAGAGAAAATGCATGAAGCGACTAGTTTCGGGGTTTTGTTGGGATATATAGAAGTTACTAAATGTTGTTAGAGTCAGGTTCTTCGTGCTCTCCTGCCGCAAGCCCCTGGCCTCTCTTTCGCCTTGCACCCGAAATCCACATATCTTCACAGATGGGTCCCCGACATGTTTGGATAGAATCTCGGCAACATGTCTGCGGAACTCTGGCAGACCTCCCCAATCCACAGCGCAGATGTCGAATGAACTCGGGATCCGCCACACTTCCGCTGGATGTCGAAAACCCGTCGATGGGTGGGGCGAAAGCAAGAGGTTCGAGATTGTCAATGGACTCAGGGGACCCGTGAGAAATGAAATTACAGTAGGTGCAAACCAGATGATGCAGAAAAACCTCATAAGATGTGGAGCGATAGGATCAAGCCAATGAATAGTATATACCCTCCCTAGAATCTCGAGTCAGAAGGAGTTACTCCTCACCAGAAGTCACCGAATTCATTACTGTCCAGTCGCACATTTCGTTGTTCATCACATTGTCGGTCCATGTATTTCTTCTGTCGCAAGAGTGTCTTCACACCCGCCTTGTCGCCCTCGTCGCGCCAAGCAAGGAACAGGTGCTTAACTTCGGTAGGGCGACTTGTTGGAAGCAAAACGCTGCGGTGGATAAGGAGGTGCCAGGTGGCTCATGTGTTACACTGCAGTGTCCCGAGGCTTGCCCTCTTTGGACGTATGAATCTATGGATAATTACAGAATTTATTGATTCTTACTCAGACCACAAGAACTTTGCAAGCACACATTCCCCAAAGCCATCAAACTATTATATCATTATATATCATGAAATGCCTGGTCTTTCCAGCCAGACATGGTCCACCATTAGATCAAAAATGTCTTGCTTTCAGAGGCGCTTGGAACATCGCCTTCAAAAAGTCATCCAACCTCATCAATCTCAAAGCATTGATTCCTCTTTGCTTTGAAGGGAACAACACACCAACTCACCATGCCCGTCCCCAAATGACGCCATCGGCACCCATCCCACGCCCTTTGGTTCCATCGAATTCGGGTCGTACCCGGCGCTCGAGTGAGGATGGGGTCCTCGCTGGATCTCCTGTCCAGTCTGGCGCCACACGCGCTCAGGCCCAGTGCACTGGCTGAGCATGCGAAGGACAGGACACTGGAAGAAGTTGGGAGGCGGATGTCCAGATGATTTTATATCGTTCATTCCCTTGGCACGAAAAAAGGTCGGAACGCTCCTGGAGCGATCCGGACGTCAGTCAGACATCTGTGGTCGATGACATGGCCAACGCTACTGTGAATTAAGTGCAGGAGGCGCGTGCCGTGATTTCATGTAACCTTTTCTGGCTTGGTCAAACAAATCTTGGACTTTGGTTCCCACATTGATGGTGATTTTCATGTCCCAGAAGAATTTGAGAATAAGGCTGGGCCGTGATTTGGCCAGCCAAAATACTTCAGCTCAAGACTAATGCCAAGCCTCAGTACTCAGCAAGGTCAGCATCGCGTCCTGCTTTCCACGCCGCAAATCGCAGGAGGTTCTTATATGCCTGCACGCACGAATGAGCCGAGTAACTGTTTTAGGATTCTGTGAAGAGAATCTTCCCACCATTGCGAGGAACTTTGCTGGACTGTCAGAAACGCCCAGGGAATCCTGCATACATGATGACACCGGAAAAAACCAAGCGTGCCCCCTTTGTTGCTCGGGCGCGAGGGCCCGTGTCTTGGCGCATGACATCGGTGGCGATCACACCACCGGCGACTGCCTTCAACCAAGCGCAAAGCCAACGGACAAAATACATTGAATCCGCTTCATCAAGCACCTTCTCTCTGGCCTGTCTCACACGGAGAACCTGAACTGGTACTCCGCTAGCAAAGGCTTCAAAACGCAGGAAACAATACATGCCCCTTTGTTGCCACGATCCATGGCGATCACGCAACTGCCGAATGACCTGTCTGCTGCCTGGTGAGACTGAATCTCCACGCTCGTTTCATCCTTGTTTCACTATATTGTGCTGAACGCTGGATGTGTCGTAGTCTGACGCACTTTGCTGGTATGTCGGACCATCAAAAAACCTTGGGGCAGGCATCATAGTTTGGATTCAATCTACATGATCAGGCAATGACCGTTCAGCAGCATTCCCAACACCAGTCTCCATTCCCGACCCTGGAAATTCTGCATTCGGCTGCATTCGCCTCATCATTTGGACGACATGGCTTCGTCGCTTGGACGACAACAACCGGAGCTCCCAACCGGAGCGGCGACTCAGCGGGAGCAGCAGCCCATCCGTCCCGCCCGCCTCCCGATCCACGGTCCGTCTCCGCGGCGCCTCCTGGGAACATCTGGCCCAACGGCCTATGGGCCAAGCTGGCCTGTGGGTCATCAAGCCTAGAAGATGCCACAACTATCTATTGGCTGATGTTACGATGTTGGGGTCAATCCATTTGTCCCGGATAAATCCTCAAGATCAAAGAAACCAGGAAACCAATGTCGAAAGATACTGTCGAAAGAAACGAGAAAGTCTCATGGAAAAGAAGTAAATGAGGTGTGTCTCTCATCTCAGGATCCTCGCACGCACGGTTCAAGGATCCTCGCGGCTGACGACACGATTCTACCTACACGGCGAGTCCGCTTGTCACCCAAGTGTCCAGATCTGAATTGAGCTGAGGGGAACCCCCTGACCCAGGTTCTTCTGTTGCAACTGCCTGGTGTGTTTCCATAACTGTTCCTGGAATGTTCCAGGAGCAACCAGTGTCTAAAGAACTATGCATCAAACCAGCACCAAGGGTCATAGCCTCGGTGGTGACACCCAACCGGAAAGAACACCAGTGGAATATCGAGGGAAACCGTGACCACGAAAAGCCCCAGAAAAGTCCCAGTCGATGTCAAGAAAGTTGGACATGCACCATCTAAGCTATGTCCATTTCATTGACCCTGGATAGCCTGTTTAAGGGTGGCTCTGATCCTCTTCGTGCACTGTAGGGTGATTCATTCCCCAAGCTCATCCATAAAAGCTCCCCCCGAAACACCCCAGAACACCTCGCCTCCCAGCCCTTTCGAGTGGGCAGCAACTTGAAGCCTTCGCTGTGTGCGTGCGCCAGGTCCATGGCTGTGAGCTGGTTCCGCTCCGCTCGCTCCTGCTGGACTGAAGTCGGGGGTCCAAAAAGAAGAGGAACCCTAGTAGCTTCTTGTTACTAGTAGTAATGCACGTGTTACTAGCAGTATGCACTAAGAAGATTTCAATAAAATAGTGGACTTCGGCCTCCTCACGGGCCTCACGATCATCATGCAACATATCAAATCAGATCCCGGCTGAACTAGGCGCCTGTCATGGTGCTCTTGAAAACGGGAGCGGCACCGGGGAGCCAGTCGGCTGTCGGTTGTCGCACATCACTCCCACTCCACCCGCTTCGCCTGACGTGCCAAGGCCTCCAAACGTTGCTGCTCCTCCGCCCGCTGCCGCTCGTCCAGGTCCCTCTGTCGCCTTTCCGGTGACTTGCCTCGGGCGAAGGGGGGAGGGGTTCTTCAATCGAACATGTCGAGCAACCTCACTGACCTCAGATTGTTAGGCATGTTGCAATGTGGTTCTTTCTTCGTCAGGGCCAGGGGTTTGCCTGATTCGCCCACGATTAGCTTCAAAAGGAGGAGTGCAGGTCTCAGCTCCAAGACTGAGAGAACTCAGTAGTATATGTATAAACGGTAACAGACGCAGCTCTTCAGTGAAAAAAAGGTTCACTTTAACCATTCATGTCAGGCTCCAGTCACTTGGCCAACGTCCTGAAAAAGAGAACTGAAACGAATACTAGCGACCTCCACAGCCACGGCAAAAGTCCTCCTTGAGCAGATTTGCACGTGTGCAACTGCAAATCCATTGGCCCTTCAAAGGCACCTGCATGTAGCAGTCCTCGCACGCAACGAAGCTTGGAAGGCGTGCACACAAGAATATGGTCCCCAGACCCCCCAGCATCCCATTGGTCTCTCTGCTTTTGCCTCATCTCCCCTGTTCATCCACACGTGACAAAGTTGAACAAAACCTCAAGGATTATAAATGTATTTGTACACAGTCTTTGACTCGCAGGGTAGATGTATCACCCTCCCGTCCACTCTCAATCTGTCGGCACAGGCTCCCCCACTTCGATCCTTTTCCCCACTTCGATGGGATGGGTGAGTTGGTGGGCAAGTCAGTGGGATCCATCATCCCAAGTAACCGTTGAACATCAACATCTCTGAAGACGCGGACAAAACCGCTCCTGCCGGAAGTCTGCTGAGGTGACTTCGGGCCGCGGCCACCTGTCTCTGACCAGGCGCATGGAAAAACACAGATGAAACAGACCACATGCAACACGGATGTTCCAGTGTTTTCCAGTGTCCATGCCCAACAAAAGTCGGAACCGGGCCTGCCGGGTCTGCGAAAATCCCAGATCATTCCACAAGTCAAATCGATCGGGTGTGCCGAAGCCATTCCGGAAATCGATTGTCGTCGAAAAAAGTGGTAAGAATAAAGCTCCACATGGATCACAGGCCTATTGATCGTTTAGCGCCAAGGTGGTCCCGGACGTTTACATGCCGAATAGCGAACACAGCTTGGCTGAATTGAGAAAACGGTACAGCAAGTCGTGCTTTTCATCATCTGATGTTTCACTCATCCAACCCCCAAGTTTTAGAACGCGGCAAGGCTCACTTGTCCACTTGGCACCACAATTCCATTTGCTGGGCTCTAGGCTCTACGCATTTCATCAAATAAACAGTTGTATAGATATAGGTTGAAAAGGATCGAGTCAAGCAGTCAAGCAGTCGTCCCCAAAAAGAATTAGACCCTTCGCACACAAAATACACCAAACAAACAAAAGGCTGTTTGCCTCACGCTCAAGCACTCTAGATCCCATTGAACTCAAAAGCAGTGCAAAAATGGCTTCAACTTGGTCTTCCGCAATGCAGCCTCAACCCCTCACAGCAAGGAAATTGCAGCTACCTAGGCCCAACCCGCAGGATCATGGCCTCAAACACCTTTCATGGCCTTCTCCATCTCCTTTGCCCATCAAAGCCAAAGGGACAGACCCTTTTGAAGTCGGCGCTACGCCCCCCCCCCGGGCCGTCTACGCCGCTGTCGCCCGCGCACCTGGGGGCCCGCGGATCTTCCAGCAGGTCCGCCGGAAGGGCGCATTGTGCCCGGCGCCAATCTCCTTTGGCACTTGGCTAAGTGGCACGCGCTGGCACAGTGGAAGAAAGTTCATCTCATGTTGAAGAAAGCATCCCTGAACTAGAGATAGAAGCTGTGACTGTGCCTGAAAATTCCAGCCCCCCCGGCCTTCTCACATAAACTAGACAACCCGGAGAACAAGCAATGGTCACTTGTGAGCGCATGATCCTTACATCATTGCAGTAGATCAAGCATTCCTTCCAGCTTGTAGGCTCAATCACCCAAAGTTTGCCTGTGAAAAGAATATGTTTTTGATCCGGGTTTTTTCTCTGCCATTTACTTGACATACCTAGGTCTGGCAAGTCGGTCAAAAGTAGACCCCAATCATGGGGGAGATAGGCTTGCAAGAACCGACGAAACCAGCAAGCTTTGGACTCAAGTGCAGCTCGCCAAGATGAAACGCAACGCAACTGGTAGATTGGTCACAACCAACCCGGACGAACGCTTTGGGAATTGATCTGGAGGTTCCCCCAGCATGGTGTGCTGTTCGCCGTATGAAAAAGTCTAAACTGCCTTCAGCTTTCTCAACAGAACACCGGTTCCAAGCTGATATCACTGATATCTACTGAGGGCTGCCTTTTGCATTCTCAATGATCGTGCTAGGCTGCCAAGAAAATCACCCGCAAACCATGTGTCACTGTCACTGTCCGCCCCAAAACGCAGAGTCGTGCTTCAGCCCCCCCCTCCGACCGCAGCAACGCCCATCTCCAAGGCTCCGCTGGAGCAGCATGGCTTGGGTTCCAGCGGCGCTTGGGGTCGATGCACCGGGCACGAACGCCGCCAGAACACCATCGCGGCCACGACCGCACCACGGGAAGGAAGCGCCGAAGGAAGAGCTCGGGAACACCGCTTTGGGGTTCACTTCCTTTAGATCCAGAAGAAATGCCAGCGCTTGGTCACTCCTACTTACGGTTCGTGGCCAAGCTCCCCAACTGCCCAAGGGGTCGGGTTGGAGAAGTAGACGACCAGCGGTTGTAAAGATCCCCTATGACTAAGGTCCTCCATGACTCTCAGCACTTAGGACGTCGGAGTACGAGGGCCCTAGGACAAGTCTTGGAGAGAGTTGCTCTCCCGGTGTCTCTCCAACGACCTGTGTTTGCAGGAAAACGTCGGCCTCATAAAGCTTGTCGGCCGTTCACCTTTTCGTTTGAGGGGGTCGGAAAAAGAAGGACTTTTAATTGCGAAACTCTGGGCCCTTCATTGCGAAAGTGCGGGTTTCCAATTGCAAAACTTTGGGCTCCCAATTGCAAAACTTGCCCTTTGGACTGAACATGTGGAGGCCCCATAATATGTTGACAGTGGCCCAAAAAATGGTGTATTTTTCCTGTAAATACTGGCTGTTCTTGGCTGTGGCAAGAGGGCTAAGATTTCCACAGTAATTACTCCAGTTACTCCCATGACCTTGCAAGTCAACAAGATCACCATGCTTGCTTGAAGAAAAACGAATTGAGCTGTGCTGGGGGTGCCATGGTTGCTTTCCTTATTCAAAGTCAACGAAATGAGGCCGGACGATGGTTCCCGTTCGCGCGTGTCTTTCGCACCATGAGGACGGTGGAGCCAACTTGTAGAGGTGTTTGCTCGAAAACACCCACGGAGGTGCTTTTGGCTATTTGTCAACAAACACAGCCGCATGATTTGGTCATTCTGCAGTGTTTTAAATCGAAGACGTTCAGCTTTTGCTTCGTCACGATTCGCGCGGTCGAGGGACTCCAGGGACTCCAGCAGAAGCGCTCGAGGTCTTGAAGACTGAGGCGGCGAAGGTTGTGGACGCAGGGCCAGAGTGGAAATGGCGTCGCAGAGTTTGGTCCAGAAGGAAGGGGTCTGTCAGAAGAACTGTCCAGCTTGCGCAGTTCTTTGGGTTACTTGCCTTCGACCTCAAAGATGCTCATGTGGTACCTGTGAGTCTTCTTCCACTTCCAGCCCCTGTCCCATGCATATTTACACCATTAAGATCCATGTATTCACTATTTAACCATGTTATCAAAATCGTTGTTTCGCCATCAGAGAGTACACTTCATGACATATCTCGTGCAACGTGCTCGCCTTGTTGCGCCGATGCAATAGTCGTGTGGCATGCGAGGGACAAACACATGAACAAAGGGTGCTAAAGAGTGTTTGTCGCCAACATGGTGACACAAGAAGCAGACCCTGCAATTGAGGGAATCATCAACCAAAGGAGGGTGCTTTCCACCAAACCATGCGTCCATCGCAGCAAATATCTGGGTGCCTCACAGCTTTTAGCAGATTAATGCGAGGTTCGATTTTGGCCCACACCCATGTTTTGTCCAAAACCTACGGACCTGCCAACTGTCTTCAAGTTCCCAGTCTATATGGGCCGTAGATGTACGGGATGATTGATCCGCTGACTGTGCTTCTACAAAAGCGCTATGTTGCCTATCATGTGCGCAATCGTGTTACGCGACATGTTCAAATTCGAAAAACAAAATGACATTTAAAAATATCCTCAAAAAAAAACAGTCAATCCCCTCAGGGTTCAGTCTTACAAACAGATATATATATATATATCAAATATCCACCTTACAAATATCAGTCTTACAAATGCATAAATGAATGCGTTGTCTTAAAGCAGCCCTACGTTGGAGAATTGTTCAAATCCAACCGACCATTTCACTGTTCTGCAGCTTTTTTGGAGAACACCGCCTGTGACCGCACTTTTTGAGATCACGCCGGTTACAGTGGCATGTCCTCGAGGAGAACAGGAGGTGCTGAGTGCAATGGCTTCACCTCTAAACTAACACGAGTTGATGTATCACGCAGTCCTTCATGTGTCCCTTTCCCGACCGGTTATCACGCAGTCCTCCATGTGTACTTCTCCCGACCGGCTTGGCAGGTTACCCCATTTGGGATTCAGAGCCAGAAACGTTTCTCCCATGTAGACTTGGGATGGCATCTTGGTGCGAAAGTATGCTGGCAGCATGTATCATATCTGTCAGAAGCCAGAAGTCCTTGCCCGGCTTGCTTCGTTTAGTCTGAGGAGAGGAAACAACTGGACCATCCTCGTTCCTGCGCTCGTTCCTGAGCTCCCCATGTGACTTCTGTAACTGTATGTTCAAGTCTTTGTTTCAAGTCCGTCATTTCGTGGTTCGTGGACACCGTGCATCGACCGAAAAATCTGGAATGTTGATCCAAAAGACAGCAAGTAAGCTACCTGAACCTACCTTCCACCTGCACACGGTCCAAAAGTATCCAAAAATCATCCCAGCACCTCCCAAACGCGAACTCCTCGGGCAAGAGTCGGGAGGGGGGGCCCCGCAAGTTTGGGCTCACGTCGTATTTTCCCCCGAGTTTCGGGAGTCTGACTTTGCCACTCGGCCATGCGGCGTGAAAAGCCAACGCGATCGTCAACACTCTACACCTAGATGGGGGCGTCCGATGTTCATCCGGTGCGATGAAGAAACTCCACACATTTGATGGGTGTTTGAGGCCTCAATTGAAAGAAGACACCGGTTTTTTGCGATGTGTTTGGGCCCTTCTACGAAGTCGACGGACTCTCTTTGTTTCGTCTCCACCGAAGTAAAGCAACCACCACTCTGAAAAATGGTCTGATGACTCCCAGGGCCGAGTGCTTGATATTCCCGGCGAATGCATCACTGGCCGCCGACTGGCAAAGTCACCACGCAGCCCCCAACGGCCCGTTTTTGGTCACGAAGGACTTTGCAGAGACGGTTTGACCTCAAGGATAGTCAGTGAATCCCCTTTCAAAATGTATTGGACATCTGTTTGATCTATTTGGGGACCAGTGGCCCAAACAGGTGTTTCTATGTTTTTAACTCATACAGAGACTGTTGGAGTTGCAACATGTGGGAACTCGCCCATTGGCTTCTTCTGCTCCGTCATCGCCACAAACTCCTCCCTCAAAGGAGCCGCAGCACAACTGCTGGCCAGGGGGTTGGGAAGATCAGAATTGAGCAGCTGGCCAGAGACGCAACGTCCTTGGGTGGACTCTCACAACCCGCTGCACTTCTTCCACTTGCCCTGTAATAGGAGTTGAGGCGTATCGTCTCAACATGTTAAGGTAACACAGTAGGATGTCATAAATGCTACGCAGGCAAGGCAAGTGAATGTTACCTTGCTTGAGTTGAGGAGCCGATCCTTGGGCTTTTTGGTATTCTACACCATTAAGGCCTCTTTTTGATGGAGCAGTGTACTTAGTAAACCTCCACTCTGGGTCAAGTGGTCCCTTCACACCAGTCTGGCTGATCCCTACCTGATGCGTGAATCATCTGGCACCTGCCGCACAAGTCTCGAACAAAGGAATCCCTAGGCCCACAACAAAAGTGTCGGGCGCTACAAAACACCAGCTGTGCTTCTGGCAGGCTAACCTCAGCGTCCGAAGAAGACACTGAACAAACCAAGCACTCCCCATGACATGTGGGATCAAAAGCCTTTCAAAAGATGCCCTCGTTGCAAATCACTGCACTACGAGTACTGCACTTGGAGCCGCACCATCTAGAGTGTGGACTTTGCCGCACACCGACCTGCTCAACCGAACGGACGCCTTCACGCCTGGACCGAAGCCAGCGAAGCCCGACGGTTCCCGGCGTTTCACCCACTCCGGCCTGGCGACGCCGATGCTTGGGGGCCCTCATGGCTCACCTTGGAGTCTCGGTGCAAACCAATGGCAGGGGTTGGATCGGGAACACGGCGAGGGTCCCAGTGTTTGACATTGGGAGTCTTCTTGCCTGTTGGGTCAACTCTCAGATTCTCTCTCCCAGTGGCGATCTGGTTCCACTTCAATGTGAGTGACGACTGCAACAGCTGCAACAGGCGCAACGGTCGTACATCGACCATCATCGACCGATCGACCCAGTCGGCGATGTGGGGCCACGCCCCGCCCTCTTCTCGGAAGAACCGCCCTGACCGTCACGGTCGAGACGGTGATCCTCACCACATTCACCTTTCCATTCGAGACAGCCTTGAAAGACCCGTAGAAAAGACTGGTGGACCTGCGGTGGTAGAACCAAATCCTGTGTAAATCCATAGGCGTTATACAGTAAAAAGAAACCCTGTGCCTTTCCCCTGGTCAGACACCTAAACTCCATCAAGCTAAAACCGGAGATGAGCATCAAGTTGAACATCTGGTGCCGCAAAGGTTGAGACCTCGCCCCCCTCAACAGGTCACGCGTCCGCACTGGTCATGTGAACCTTGCCGCTCTACATCATGTGACACGGGCGGGCGCACGCGGGCGCACCGCGCGGCGGATAAAGAATGGGCTCGAAAGCGTGTAGGGCTTGCACCCAGGCTTAAGAAGGCTGCATCCAAGTCGGTGCCGCGTGACGCCTAGACACGCAGTGGTTCTGCCGCTGCAGACAGCGTGCTGAGGACCAGCAGTGGGTCTAAGAGACGGTGTACGACTGATCAAAAACGCGCCAATTGCGAGCTTTGATCTTGAAAGACCACAAGACAAGATCTCGGCTGCAGGGTGTTTGTCTCTTTGCAATAGAAAATCCAAATCCCACTCTGTTCTTCTCAATGTCTGCCATCTGAAACCCACCGCAAAAGAACCGCGGCCTGCTTCACGGCCCGGTAGACATACATGCCGGCCACCGGAACGCTGAAACTCACCACAAAGACCTGAAAAGCGGACCGGACAGCTCAGCTCAAGTGGAGCTGAAGGTCTCTGAAATACCCTGAAAACTAAGATAAACCCTGAAAACCACTGGCGCAGCTAGAGGAAAACAGTCTTTGAGGGTGCCATTCGACCGGTCGAATCCATGTGAGTTTTCGGGAGTCTATGTGTCTTACCGCCCCACGGGACCGCTGCACACGCGCGGGAACGGAGGCCGGGAACGGAGGCCGGGGGGACGGAGCTTGTCTTCAAAATCAGGTTTGAGTTCTTATGCCGGGTGGGGGAATAATCCAAAACATGTCATTGTTGTTGAAGCGCCCACCATACAAGTGTGGCTCAGGTGCGTTCATTGCAATGTTGCCTAGTGCATCGCTTTGCGTGGGTGGGATTTAGCACGGCAAAAGCATGGATGAAGAGCTGCAAAAAGCCATGCAATTGCCAAATGTCCATGTGTACCGAACCAGCTTGTCGGGTTCATCCCATGGATCAACCACTTGATGCTGAACGTTGCTGAACAAAAAAACTTGCTTTCTTGATTGATTTTCTGTCCCAAAAAGCCAGCTGAAATACCAAGGAAGGCATGCAACTTGAACGACACCCCAGTGATGTGGGATGTGGAGGGCTCGATGCAAGGTACCATACTTCCATTGCCCATTGCTTCTTCATCCATCGGGATCCATGGGGAGACTGTCCGATCCCCTCTGGGAATCCACCTATCCACCGCCACAAGTTAGGCCCATCTACGGGCCCCATCCTTCTCACCATTCCTTCTCACCTACCGAAAGGCGAGGGCATCTCGACCTCCAGCCCGGGTGCCGCGCCGACCGAGGCTCGGCATCCCCACCAGCATCGTTCGGCTGAGCTCCAGCATGCCTTTGGAATTGGGCGCGGCCTGAAGGTTGGACGGTCTGAGCTCCGGATGGGGTGAAAATGGGGATGTCCTAGTTCTTTTTTCTGCATCTTGAGGCCGAGGTACCATGCAGGATCACAGCCAGCAGCAAAACGGGAGAGCACTGAGCATCAACTAATCCAGGTGATATTTGTGAATGGAAGCAAACTCACAATCAGGGGATTTCCCGAAGTTACGAGCGATCGCGAAACGGACAAGGAAGAACCAGATAGGGAATGGGGATGTCCTAGTTGAAGGGAGTGGGAAGCTCTGGCGGCGCGAGGAAGAGTGAGGAACTGTTGGACATCTATGAAAGGATTGCAGAATAGGATTGCAGAATAGGATCTCTGTCAACGAAGCAGGGTGTGTTTTGCCGAACATACGACAATAGTGGAAATGGACGCCCAAAAGAGACGGAACGCGAGACTAAAAGTAGTCTGAGATCTGTTCGGAACCCCTGTTTCCAGAGCAATTGAATCACAA